ACCCGTGTCGCAGGTTCTGAGGCTTGAGCTTTCTGTTAGGGTGACACGGTCGACGACACGGCCAAAATGGCCGTGTCACGACCCGTGTCACATGCCTGGGATTTTTTTTTTAATTAAAAACAAACAAAACTATCCTACAATAAATAAAAAGAAAGCAATAAAACCGTTGAGTTGCCTCCCAACTAGCGCTAAGTTTAACGTCTTCAGCCAGACGCCTGTAAGAATCACGGCTCCTTCAAAGTGATGTAGGACGACTTCTCATGTTGGTACGAATGAAAGTAGTGCTTGATCCGTTGTCCGTTAACTACAAAGGTCTCGCCGTCTCGTGCAACCAATTCAACTGTTCCCGGTGGTAACACCTTCTTAATCACAAAAGGCCCCGACCATCTCGACTTCAATTTTCTCGGGAATAAATTCAATCGTGAATTAAACAAAAGGACTTGTTCTCCCGGAAAAAATTCTCTCTTGTGGATCATCCGGTCATGCCACCTTTTCGTTCGCTCATTGTAAATCCTCGAATTCTCATAACAATCATCTCGCCACTCCTCCAACTCATTTAAATCGAGAAGCCTTTTCTTACCCGCCTCGTGAAAATCAAAGTTTATCTTCTTCACTGTCCACATAGCTCGATGCTCTAACTCAACTGGAAGATGACACGACTTACTGAAAACAAGTCTGTATGGAGATGATCCCAGTGGTGTCTTATAGGCCGTGCGATAGGCCCAAAGTGCATCATCGAGCTTCAACGACCAATCCTTCCTATTTGTGCTCACCGTCTTCTCCAATATATACTTGATTTCTCGGTTCGCCACCTCTGCTTGCCCATTCGCTTGCGGGTGATAGGCTAAGGCCACTTTATGCTTGACGCCATATTTCGAAAGAAGCTTCTCCATTAATTTATTCACAAAGTGAGAACCCCCATCACTGATCAAGGCTCTCGGGGTCCCAAACCGTGTGAAAATATTCTTCTTCAGAAACTTGAGAACAACAGCGGCATCATTAGTGCTCGAGGGAATTGCCTCCACCCAACGAAGGACATACTCAACAGCAAGTAATATATACCGGTTCCCAAATGAGGAAGGGAACGGGCCCATGAAATCAATCCCCCAAACATCGAACAACTCAACCTCGATCACATTCGTCATAGGCATCTCATGGCGTCTAGAAATATTGCCCATCCTCTGGCATCGATCACACTGGTTCACAAAAATATAGCACTCTTTATACAAGGTCGGCCAATAGAAACCACTTTGTAATACCTTTGCCGCAGTACGAGCTGCCCCAAAGTGGCCACCCGTCGGTGAAGAGTGACACTGCTGATAAATTCCATCCCACTCTTCTTGTGGAACACATCGTCCAATGATCATATCAGCACACCTCTTAAAGAGAAGAGGCTCATCCCACATATAGAACTTCACGTCATGGAGGAATTTCTTCTTCTGATAAAATGACAAGTCTGGAGGTAAGACCCCGACCACCAAGTAATTGACGATGTCAGCGTACCAAGGAAATTTGGCCTCAGTCATAAGGAGTTGCTCGTCTGGAAACTCTTCTTTAATATCACTGGTGGTATCGGCCTCTTGCCGTTTATACTCTAACCTCGATAAATGGTCTGCCACCACATTCTCGCAACCTCGACGATCCCGAATCTCAACATCAAACTCTTGTAGTAAGAGAATCCACCGAATCAAGCGTGGCTTAGCATTCTTCTTGTCAAATAGATACTTGATTGCTGCGTGGTCCGTATGCA